CTATCAATTATTTTAATAATACCTTACTATTCTTTTTTCAATATGTAATAAATATTACACAATCCTTGACTTATTGTCATATATGAATTATCAATTAAACGAAGAAGGGAACGATCATCACCAGCTGCTGCATTGCGAGGTAGTTCTACATTGTGGAATTTTTTCACGAGTCTATTTAAAGTAGAGAGGGGCACTGGTGGTATTGTTTGAGGTCCTGGAGATGCAGTAGAGCGGCAGCTGATAACAGAAAGACTTGGAGTTAGATCCACATTGCTTAATGTAGGGTTTTGTGAAGGGAGAGAAACATAAGTACTTTGGAGGACATGAGAAGTCTGCCTTGGAGAATCGGTTGCAGATAAGGACACAAATCACATCTTCTGACTTGTGTTTCTTATTTCTACTGTAAAGCGATAGCCTTAAATAATGAGGAAACTTGGATTACTTAAAATTACAAAGTTGAAGTTGAAGTTTACGAAAGAAGTACTTTGGCTGTCTAATCATTGCTCCATGCAACAATATGTACCAAACATAATACAGTGATGATAGGATTGTATCAATCCTTAGGAATTCCTTGTTTTAAGTTGAAGTTCCTTAGAGCCATCTGTAAAGGCTTATGCCTCCACTTAGAAAAAGTCGTGAATATTATTCTACTTTTATTCATTCCAGTATTATCTATAGTTGTTGAATTCAAAAATAGATTTCTCACTTTCTTGATTATGTGCTGCATATGAATCACTCGTAATTCTGTCACCACTCGCCACAAATAAACTCCCTCCAACCCCCACCTCCAAGAAAAGAAAAAACCGACATCTACAAAAGACTTACTTAAATACTGCAATTTAGATACAGACATGGAACATGTACGCATTTCAATGTTGATTACCAAAATCAAAAGATACTAGTAGTCTCAATTTTGATGATTCCTAAATCACTAAAACAAACTCTACCAAAATACCTGTTTGCCGTAAAATTTGGAAAGGGATAGATTTTCAAGCAACATCTCAATGTCTAATTATGTTACTTCCTCTCAGAACCACATGGAGACATGAGTGGCAGCAGCAGAAGAATTAGTTAGTTTAAATGAAAATGGAAATAGTTAGGCAAGTTGCTTATTCATATCTTCAAATGTATGAACTACAACATATCTCAAAAAATTTGCGATATATTAAATTTCAAAAAGTCTCCATTTAGCAAAAAATGTATCCTCAAGACTGATTGTCCACACCAAAATTGAGGTCTCCATCGATCTTCAATTGACTCAGGAGTTTATGAAGCTTAGCACAAACCAAACGAGACACGCCCCCTACATGGACATATCAAAAAATGTTTCAATTTAGGTCCATTCACTTATCTGTATCCCCATTCTCCTCTTAAACAATTTCCCCTCAAACACAAACACCCAATTTGAAATATAATTAGCCCATGTTTGATTCCCATTATCTAAACTCAAATTCATTTCCAACCACGCATTCTCAAGATAAAATATATGACACGTAAACCCAAAACTTTTTACTACTTTTTCCCACACATTCTCCAAATATTCACTATTATAAAACTCATTTTCAAGCAAAAATGGGGCTCAAACATAAGTTTAATGTTATTTTCTCCATCTCTTTCTCTAGTACTCTTTATGCAATTATGGGAAACATCAAGAAACCAATTCAATAATTCCTGCCAAAACTGAGATGGTCCCTTGATCATATTTCAATTTGCAAGCAAAATCATGCAAAAGATAGCCATGAGAGACCCAGGACACATTTGCCTCAATTATATGACAAAGCTTATACAACAAAGGGGTGGAGTATTAATAATTCCAAAAGAAAATAAAACAAAATACAAACTTAGGAGGGGGACATAACATAAAGCCCAACCTTCAGTCAATGAAAAACAGAGAGCAGCTCAATTAACCACTCCGGTGGAGACATATGGCTCATTGAGATAAATATTTCTTCAAATTTCTCGAAACAGATTTGTACTTTAAGAAAAGAACCTTCAGCAACCATACTTGATTAAAAGAAACCATTCAAGAATACATTATATGGCAACTTGCATAATTCTCACAGAATATCATTCCATTACATTTAAATGGCCAACAAGGCAAAGACATGTATTTTTTACCTCAAAAATTGGAAGGCAGTACCACCACGCAAGCAATCTCACTCTTGAATATGAGGAGAAGCAATTCAATAACCAATATGGCTTGGATCTCCAATATATTCTGCAATTTGTTCAAGCCGAACATTGAGAAACTCCTGTGTGTCTGCATTCTGAACTAAACCCGTCTCCTTCTCCAAATCGCGCTCCAGCAAACTCCCATACACACCCTTGTACCTACCATACAATACTAGTACTTTGCCTCCACGTTTTGGGATAGCAGTCTCCAGTAAGTCCTGGCCCACACCTTGTACCAACTCCCCACTCTCATCCATTGAAATATCACAAACCCCAGGGCCCACCACATCCATTACCACCCCCTTTTTCAAGTACAATCTCCCACCCTTCAATACCTCACTTACTATTCTCACCCGAATATGATTCCTCAACCAATTCACTCTCTCACTACCTATTTTTTCTTCCTCTCGGCCCCTTTTGCTCGAAGAAGTTTTATCACGTTTATCATTACTACTGTTTTTTTCTTTAACCTTCAACTCCTTTAATTTCCTTAAGCATTTCTCCTCCTCTGCAGAACCCACCTCCGCCACATCTTTAACAAGCACCTTCACCTTCTCCCCATTTCTTGACATCCTCAAAACCAATAAATCTCCACCACTTCTCACCTCAACGATTTTACCCTTCATCCCCATCTCGCTCCCTTTCACTATCCTCACCTCTTTCCCCACATCAAACCCTTTCTTTTCCTTTGCATCCTCCCTCTTATTCCGCCTGACATCTCTACTCCCAAAAGCTTCACCAGCATTACCGTTATTGCCATTTTGATTGTCAGGTAATTCCCCCTCATACCCTAAACCTCCTCTACCAGCTCTTTTTTTAACCTCAAGAATCTTGGTATCCTCCTTGGCATTGCGGCCAACGCCCCTGCCCTTATTCCATCCATACCCCGATAGCAAAGCTGCACCAAAGCCCTCCACGGGCATATCCATATATTCATCAATCCCAGTATCCTCCGGTAACTTCTCCAAATCCTCCCTCAACTTCCTCAACTCCAAGTCCGAAATTGGCAAATTCGATTCTTCACCTGGATCATCTGCAGAACCACCCGATGGTTTACTACGAAGATTGAGCCCGTAAGCCATCAATTTATCAGAAGCATCGGGATTCCCATCAGGCACAACCTCAAATTGGAGAGTATTTTCGCCGTCAGACTTTAGAGAGGGAAGATTTGGCAGGTTTTTGAGCTTTTTATTGGGACGCCATTGGTTGGGAATAGGGGGAATAAATTTGGGTTTGGATTGGGGATCCACCGGAGCTTCAGCCGAGTTGAATTCCGTAACATAATTTTTGGAGGACGAATCGGCGATGGACGGCTCAGCATCAGCGGCGGAGAAGGATTGCGAGAGCTTTTTAGAGCGATTGGATTGGGATTTTGAAGGTAGAGAAAAAGAGAGCTTCATATTAAAATCCTTGCGTTGATTCAACGATTTTCCGAGAGAGATTAGGGATTTGATACGGAAATTAACAAAAAACAAGCAAAGATGCAATTAACCTTAAAATCCTTTTTGAGAATTGGGCGGAGGGCTGGAGGGGTAGTGCTGGGCGATGGAGAGTGAGTTGTGGCAGGAGATACCACCGGTGGTCGCCTGTAGTTGTTGAAGCCTTCGTAATCGAGAATCCTTTGTGGAGAGTTGGGGGAGAATTGGATTTGGGGATTTAGGTTAGACGGTTTCGGGTGTGTCTTGATCGGGCGAGACTAAACAATGGGCCGGGTCATTTTGTTTGGCCGGATTTTTTAAACAATTAACTAGCCACGTCCGATTTTTCAAAAGGCTGTGAAGGTGACGACTGTGAAGCAACATGTACAAGAAGCAATACTCTTGGTTGGAAAAATAGTCTTTGACCAAAATATTAAAATTAAAATAAATAATCTAATATAATAAAAATGAACTGTCCAAAATACCCCAAAACAAAACAAAACAAAATAACACAATCCGAAGCACCAATCCATTCCCAAATTAAAATCTTATATCTTACCTATCATATTCAAAACCACCATCTTTTTCGTCCTTCTTCTTATGTATGTTTGAAATATAATAATGTGTATATGAAATACAATTTCTGTTGATGGATGATAACGAGTCCGATTTACTACTTTGAAGTTTGGGAGGCCGATAGCACCACTGCTGAAGATTGTGGAGAGTTTTGAAGTGAAGCACAACATTGACATCTAATATAAGAATGAGTGAATAGGTGTTGTAAAAGAAGTTAAATGCGGTTCAGAATTTTTTTTTTAACTTTTGAAAACCTGCAGACAAGCTCCCTTTTTAGGATTTTTGACCTTCTAGTTCACAGGGGATGGGTTTGGTAGATGTTGGGTTCGACCCATAAATCCGGTGAAAATGATGGAGTTTCACAGTTCCTTTTTATTTTGAAATATTATGTTCATTTTATACATCTTCTTTTAGGTTTATGCATTTGAGGTCGGAAGAAAGGGTAAATTGGGTGAGTTGAGCATGAAAGTAGCAAATTATTTTCATCTGGTTTCTATTTGGGAATTAATAAATTTAAGAAAGTACTCTCCTTATTGCAAATTCATTGCGTTGTAATTTTTGTAGATTGGTTTTATTAAAATTCATCTCTATTACTGCCACTGTTGTCACTTCAGTTAACATTGTGTACACCTTGATGTTTTTCGATGCAAAGTTGCTTAGAAATTGGTCGTCTGATTACCTCCATGGCCAGTAATTGATGAACATTTTTCCTATATGGGAATGGAAGACAAATAAATGAAAGGGAAAAATTCGTTTATACCATACTTTAAGAGTACTTTCAATATTGACAAGCTTGAGGTTTTCTTTCAAAAATCAGGTCATAAATAAAATTATGATAATGTTTTAATAATATATTCATTTTATTTATTTTGACTTAATTAACAAAAAATAATTGGATAATCTATTAATTAAATTTTTATCACATTTTCTCTCCCAACACCTCGACAAAAACCCACCATCATCGATCACATTCCACGGCTCGAACTGGGTGAATTTTTCAGAATTATAATTTCATCCAGTCAAAATTCCATCACAATCTTCATCTTTATGTGCTAATTCCATCACATTATATTTTGATGCCCATCATTTCTACATATTTACGTTAGCTGTAATCTACAATGTTCTGATTTCGTTCATGGAATTATCAATTGAAGTATTGTGTATTATTTTCAGATTTTGACTTCTCAGATGCAGACAATGGAGCTCTTCTAAACATTGATTTCGTATAGATATATGACCTCACTCGATTTTTATTTTGGTCTTAACTGTAATTAACTACCCCTCTCAAGCTAAAATAACTCAAATTGATTGATTTAATCTATTATATTTCTATATCGATTAAAACTAAATAATCACATTAAATCTTTATGAAAATAGTTTAATGAATCACCTAGGGTCGGGGATACATTTCTATCCCCTACAAGGACCTAAGGTTTCTATTATTTGATTTAAATACAACATCTTCTCTCGAACGATATACAAATTACTAAACACAATAATCTGTTGGTTATATAAATGAAAATGCAAATTTAGCCCCTATTTGGCTCCTATTTTGGGGTGTTGAAAATTTTTAGAATAGTGATTTATGGGAGAATGTGTGGTAGAAAAGTAATGAAAAGTTTTAGATTTGTGTGTAATATTATTTTATTTGAAGAATGTGTGGTTGAAATGAAGAAAGAAAAAAAATTAATGTAATGTAATGGAAAAAAATGGGGGCCAACGGGGGCTAATAGGAAATTAATGTAGTGTGTTGTACCCTACAGCACTATTACACTGGAAGCAAACATGCACTTTAGAAATATAAACAAAAATGTTCGTTGAAACTACGTACCACTAAAATTAAGTAATAAGATAGATTTTTTGATTTTGAATTGTCGATCTTTCGAGAAATATTTACTTTCGATTATACAAAATTTGGTTGACGACTTGACGTTCCATAAAATTATCATTTTTTTTGTCTTAAAAAAAATTTAAATTAGCACATTTTGAATATTGTTGAAATATTTTATTGAGAAGTAGAGTGAGAAGACCAAGCCCCTGTTTGTCATCCATTATTTCAAAACATTGTTTGCTACAGTAAGATTCTCCACCACACATTTATTCAATAAAATATTCTACACATAAATCAATAAAGTAACTTTAAATTTCAACCACACATTCTTCAAAAAAATACAATTTATTACACCATT